TTTAATCGACTGCCCGCGCAGCCAGGCGCACTCCGGCGCAGCGCTGCCGCCTCTGCTGCCGCCGCACATCTGTGTCGCCTGACCCTAGGAGCAGGAGCCCCACTGGAGCCCGGCGGGCTCTGGAGGTCGCAACTACATTTGAGATGCTAGATTTAGGCTGGCCGACGGAGCCGCGCAGCGCCGACCCAATCACAGCGGGGCGTGCGAAGCCTCCAGTAGACGGCTCTCTCCCTCTGAGTCGCTCTAGAGAGGACCCGGCCGGGGCATCCATTGTGGGTTCTGTTCATACTACACAACACACGATCGAGATTTTTACCCGAATGATGCAGATTTCTGCACCTACGTCCGATTTAAACGCTGTGGGTGAGAAAAGTCAGACATTACCGCTCGCAGGTATAGATTTTTTGTCACAAAGCGATTATTTTTTTATTTATGTTCTCTTCTTTTGTACCAGGTGGCTGACTCACGCCGCGCACTTTCGTAGTTGGACTGTACCACATGCACGCGTGCGGGCGGGTTGCCTACTCGTACGGGGCCGTAAGGAGCCGTGGGCAGCGAGGATAGGCAAGCCCGCCCGCACCCACGCATGCGGTACGGTATACATGTCTACGAAAGTGCGCGGCGTGAGTCAGCCACTCGGTACAGTGTCCCCATGAACTGCTCCCCCTCGCTTCGCTACCACCTCCACCTTAATCCACGCTCTCGCGCTCACGCTTACGTGAGCGCGGCTTAACTGAATATAGCGCAAGTGTGCGACGGTCTGAATCAAGAAATATAAAACGCGTTTATCGGTCTAGCGATACTTACGTTCTGTGTCGAAATACGTACCTTGCGGCAGTTAAACTCCTGCAATCACCCTAAAAACCGTTTTTGCGTAGTAAAGGAAGGTACCGTGAACATTTCTTCGTAATGTAGCGCTTGGATTTCGTGTTGCAGAATGATGCAAAAACTTGAAGAGGACGGCAATATACGAATATTGTACACGTTGAATATAAAAGAGTATTTCTTTAGGTAAACGTTGGCGAGCGCGTCCCAGCGTACAGTGTTTCGCGATATAAAAATTACCGTTGCTCGAGACGTGTACCTAGTTGTGTAGGTACAATATGGTTTGTTGATACGTATTACTTTTTTACCCAAGTCAGAAGTTTGTCACAATGATAAGCCTTTGACATTTAGCCCATGTGTACTCTGTGCAACAAGAAAGTTCCTTACCTTTGGTGCGCATCAGGTATTTCAGCTATACCCCTGAGCGTGGCTGCTGTGTCGGCTGTTCGCGTACGCCATAATCCTACAGTAGCTATACGACCACACCTATCCTCACGAGAACACTTTGAGAGGATCCGAAAAGAATGGTTAAAAATTGTGATACAGTACAACTCGAGATAAATAAGGATATCTGTCTAAGTAGCAGGTGACTGATTTAAATCGCGCACTTTAATAGCTCTACTGCACCTCACTCACGCGTGAGGGCAGGTTGCCTACTCGCACGGGGCCATAAGGAGCCGTGGTCTCGGACGGATAGGCAGACCCGCCCGCCCGCCTGCATGCGGTACAGTATGACTACGAAAGTGCGCGGGGTGAATCAGCCACCAGGCTCATATTCATTCCGATGGTTAAGGAACAAAGGCGTTTCTTCTCATTTATTGTTGATTTCAATTTGTTGTCCCCGGTGATGCAGCGAATCTCAGCAGCACTCAGAAGAACATGAAATCACACAGAACAATAGATTAGTAAATGTTTCCAAGTAACAAGGCTCTCTGTTTTTAGAAAGTGCACAGTCTGCCCTTGTGAAACGGACACGTAGATTAGTTCCCCGTCCCGAAGTAATGACAACAGAACTGGACTGTGCACAGAATTTATTTCCGCCGTGCTCTCACCATTGCCCCGTCCCCGTCCCCTCCACATGAAGCTGGAGCAGCGTGGGGCGTGGGGCGTGGAGTGCGCGTTGCGCGTTCCCCAAGAAGTGGTTCACCTACACGGCGCCCACGCCCCACGTGCCGCCATCTGAGAGCTGGGCTAGCAAGTACCTTGGGCGCGCGCGGACAGGTAGGTGGAAGGCCAGGACGGCGACCTGGTTGCTTCAGCCCGCAGCGCCATGCCCGGCTCTACAGGCTTCGCATGCTGTTCGGCGCCAAGCTTGTCATGGTAAGCCAGCAGCACCTCCAGGCCGCTGACCTCTCCGTTCCTTGCGCCTGTCGGCGTTTGTCCACTCCGACCTGACTGCGCGTCAACTAAACATTGCCCTCTCCTGCCTTTGTTTTCGGCGTCCACGCCCCCGCTGGGTGGAGCCGGTGGGGCGACACCATGTCGCTCCACGGTGCGGAGCTCAGGCCGTCGAGGGCCGACGCAGGTACAGGGGCAATCTTTACTTGACGCGCAGGGGCGAGTTGACTAGTCACCGTCTCACTGGTCTCCAGTCTCCACAGCCTTGTAGCGGGCGAGCTCAGAGGCTCGTTTGTAGCTCCAGTCCACCTCTAGGGAGGCTCGGCACGAGCCGATAACATCTATACCTACCCTACTTCACACCTCTCACCAACGAGCCTCTAGGCTAGCCCGCTGATCTCGCCAATCTCACTGCCAAAATCCAAACGAACCAATTGAGGTTTAGCTGCTAAGGTACCGAGGAGTCACCCGCAATCGAGCTGGGCGGAGTGTCTGGGCGCTACT